ACGTGGGTTTTCTAAGATTTCCCCAGGTCATTTGGGATGCCGTGCGTAACGAGTCAATATCATCCCAAATGATTTGGGTAATCGCAGCATACACCAAGCTGTTTGGGACATTTGACTGATTGCCCAACTGTTTTGGAAAAAAATGACACTACGGATTTAAATGTAGTATCCGGAATTATATGTAGACTTGTTATAATAAAACGCAAAAATATAGCAATTAAATTGACTTATAATTATATTATAGCCTCGTTTTCATGGTATTAGTTTTTAGTCACGTGATCACCCCTTTATATCCAAAAATTGTTAATTAGATGTTTGTTAGTGATACAAGTTAGTTTTGACATGATTCATGATAATTAGCATGTTTTTAAGCACAAAACGTTCAAAGCCTCGTTTTCATGCTAAAGGTCAGATGGTCAGAATGAATATCCCCTAAAACAGCCATCCTAGCAAGTTGACAGTTTGTCAACAAAGTTTTTATTGTTCCTTAGGTGTATCTTAACATATCTAGATAGGTGGCTTGCTTTCTTCATCGAAGTCCCACGGGATTACATATGCTGCTTGACTAAATAGAAAGATTGAAATGCAGCCGATTAAACTATGCACGTAAATATCATTGCTTGACCACCAGAAACAATGTGATCACGTGACTAGTTGTATGACCAAAAAAAAACACCTTAAGGTTATTTATTTTTGATTGTCTATGAATCCTCCAAGTTTCACTAATTTTCATTGGGTTTTTTCTTCAAAGCAGTGAAAAGTATATTTTCTTACAATGGACAGACCTTAGCATACTTGAGTTGCAGGGAATCTTTTGGCACTGAAACACAGTCTTACTCATAATATTTGCTTTCCCGTTCTCAGCATTTTCAATTTAGGTGTTTATATACTGCACTGTACAAGCACTTATTTGAATGCATTTCATGTGGTCTTAGATGACAGCCCTGAACCACAAAACATATATACATTAGTATTTTGAYTGTTACCTTGAACAGCTTGCAGGTGCATCATATATGGATGTGCACAAAGCTGGTGGTGGGATAAATTTTACAGTTCAACATGTACGAAAAGCTACAAAAGAAAGCCTCTATCTCTCTCTCAAGCAAAGACTTGACCGCATGCTTAAATGTGGCACAACAGTTGTTGAAGCTAAGAGTGGCTATGGTTTGGATGTAGAGAATGAAATAAAGATGTTACAAGCAATAGAAATGGCAAAGAAAGACCACCCAATGGAGATCTCAAGTACTTTTTGTGGAGCTCACTCAGTTCCTAAGTAAGCTTTATTTCATTCTTTCTCATTGATTAATTAATGCTTGTTTTCATTCCTTCAATAGCTCACTTCGCTATTAGAAATTGAGCACCACTGGAAAGAACAGTGTAAAATTAGTATGTTTACAAGGTTTGAGCATGATTCRATGAAAATTCAAGGAGATACAGCGTTTAAAAGTCCAAAATTTACATGAGAAATGTATGGGCTGTCGGCATGAGATCGAGGTTGACCTTGACTTGTTATAACCTCGCCAAACATTTCTAAGCAAAGTTTAGTGTTTTTGAAGTGCTGTATCTCTTTGAATTTCAATCAGATTATTTTAAAACTTGGCAAATTTGCTGATTTTATGACGCTCTTTCCAGTGATGTCAATGATTTACCATAACGACGTAATGTAAAATTTTGAATTATCTGCGAAATGGTGTATTGCATGATTTTTACCAAGCCTCATCAGTCTTGAAGTATTCGCCAATATATAGTATATTGCATTTTGTGTAACAAGCTGCTACATACATACTTACCTTCATTTTCCAGGGGTAGTACTGCAGAGGAAGCAACTGCAAATGTTATCAATGACCAGATTCCAAAGATTAAGCAACTCATGGAAAATGGAGAGCTAACTGTTGAAAATATTGATGTTTTTTGCGAAAAAGGTGTCTTTGAAGCTGACCACACAAAGGAAATATTAGAAGCTGGCAAAAAGGCTGGATTTACAATCAATTTCCATGGTGATGAACTACACCCTATGAAATCAGGAGAGGTGAATAAAACATTGATAATATGATACAGCCAAAGATGATATCATGTGATGTATTAGGTAATGAATTTTTGGAGATTCCATTTGTCTACAGTCACAGTGCAGTGTTTTCTTATACAGGGGAGAGGGGTTATTTTATAAGCATTGACAGGCTTGGTTTTGCATTCAATTATTCCTGCCTATTCCATTAGCTTGGTGCAGAAGTTGGTGCATGTGCAATCAGTCATCTTGAAGAAGTCAGTGATGAAGGCATCAAAGCGATGGCTAAAGCATCAGTTATAGGAGTACTTTTACCAACAACTGCTTATATTCTTAAACTTAAACCACCGCCAGCAAGACAAATGATTGAACAAGGTAACATTATTTGTGTTCTGGTCATTTATTTTTCTCATTATGATTCCATGTGAACATCAAAGCATATATTTTACAAATATACCATGAATGTAATACAGTCAACCATTAACTTTGTTTAACAAAGTCATTTGCATGTTTTTAAAATTCCCAGGATTTACCAGCACTATAATTGGTAAAACTCCAGATAAATAGCAAATCAAATGTTATTGACATATTAACATATTGCCATATTTGTTTGGATTGATATTAATGTACAGTTTTGTTTGTGATTACAGGTGTAGCTATTGCACTTGGTACTGATTTTAATCCAAATGCATTCTGTCTTTCAATGGTAAGTACCATTCTAAATTATAATGGGCTAAAAGTAAAGGGATATATTCTTATTGTATGTATTGTATGTATAGTATGTATTTTTGTTGCTAATTACAGCCCCTTACAATGCACCTAGCATGCTGCTTGCTGAGAATGTCAATGCCAGAGGCATTAGCAGCTGCTACAATCAATGCAGCTGCTACAATTGGCCGTGCACATTCTCATGGATCACTAGAGATTGGAAAAGTTGCCGACATGATCATCATCAATGCTCCCAGGTAATATTTGTTACACAAAATGTGATGATTGAAACAAATCAACAGTTCTATAGAGGGTATCATACAATTTACTGTAACCTACTTTTTATTTTTTATTTTTTTTTTAGATGGGAGCATTTGATTTACCAGTTTGGAGGCCACAATGAGATTATTACTCATGTCATCAAGGGTGGGAAAGTTATCCATCAAAAATGATTTTGCAAGCCATTGGCTAAACAAAACTAGGAAGTGAATCATACATTTATTTCTAAACATAAATAGTTATAACTTAAATAGTTTTATTTATATTTCAACCTAATTTATGAAGTCTGGCTCACATATTACTTAGTCTCCTTTCACAGTCGTTATGAGGCTTTTTCCCAGGAACAAATCAAATATTTTGAAGCAAGGAACACAATGTTCAGCATTTACATGTTTTAAACCCCTTATTAGTTTCTGTGGTAGTAACATAATGAGCTAAGACAAGGATAAACTGTTTTGCCCTGTTTTATCTTATAAAAAAAGCACTTCAAAAATTTAAACAAATTGCATGTGACTGATTAAGGTGTTGGTAGATTGTGGAAAGTCTAGAAGACTAAACACTAAGAATTCAGCTGTTAAGACATGAAGGAGCTATTAACTTATTGCCCAATGAAGACTAGGTATAAATCATGACAAAATATAGCTTTTACAGTAGCTATGTTCAGTCTATCATAATAGGATGTATTTATTCTAAAAGATGTACAAATGTTTTTATTTAAATAAATTTTTGATCAAAGATATATGTTACATGTATTTACCGGCTGGGAGGTCTGTATAGGAAAACACTGCCCAAAGTCTTGATAGTACAGAACGAGTGCAGCGAGGTCCGTACATAAAAGACCAAGGCCAGTGTTTTCCTATACGGACCGACCTATAGCCGGTAAATAACATTTTTATTTTTTATTTGTATCTTATGCAACTTTGCTCGCAGCCTAGCCTACAGTCAGACCAGGCAGATCGTGAAAAACCGGACCACATGCTAGCCAATCACAGTGTGTGAATGACTAGGATACCGGACCGAAAAAAAATAACACAGTGTATGACCAGCTTCCTTATTCAAGTGAAGTCATTAAAACACTGAAAAATTTGACTATTGAAGTGATAGTCAAATAGACACAAAACAATGCAATTAGAGAGTACTAAGGTGTGTTATCATAATATCTATTTCATAGGTTTTTTGAACAACTCTAATAGAGTCTACGTGTACTTAAATAATTCTGCAACTGAGATAGAGAAAGCACTAAACAAATTAAAGTGTTTATCTTTACAAATATTGTTAATTTGTGGAATTAAAAACAATTCTCTCCATTCTTATACTTTCAGTTTTTGAGAAGTATGACAAAAAAGTTAAAATCATCTGTGAATTAAAACAAGACTCCAGTTGAAATACAAATTAATATGCAGTGATTTGTTGTGGCATCTGTTCTGTTTTAATAATATGGCAGATGCAGCCAGATACTGCTGTTAGATGGTAAAYACTTAAGTAATGGTCCGAGTAAGTAGCAGGCAAGCAAACGACAATGGAATGCATGAAGGTGCTAATTTTGTATTGTATAATCCATCCATCTCAAAAGTAAGCACATTTTTAAATATTTTATGTAATATCTGATTCCAACTTCATAAAAGCTTTCCTCAGCTTTAATATTAATAGCAATTCTATGTGGGGAACATAGCAAATTAGAAGCATTTTTTGACTATTGTTTTGAGTGCTTATGATTGGACAAGATCTGTTAATACAAATGAAACTTTGTTTCAAAACAGTTTATTCTCATTTTATTTTAAAAATCTGTTACCCATAGGTTGATATATAATCAGTSTCAAAACCAAGACATTYGTATGTGCGGAAGTTGCAATTGTCGCAGAACAATAGAAAGTTGCCTGCTTTTTGTGCGCATTGTTACTTAATATGAAGTTGAGCTTTTGTTGTTACACAGCATCATCAGGACACATCATCAGAGTCCTGATGATGCTGTGGAACAGCGAAAGCTCRACTTCATATTAAGTTAAGTATTTACCATTCTAACAGCAGGGCCGCATTTGCCATATTATTACTCCTACTAACATGCTGCTGAAGGATAACTTCTCTAGATTAATCTGTTTTGTTTTAAAAAAACTGATAGTGCTTTTAATTAAAATTATGATTTGTCATCGAAATGTTACTGTCTATTTTGCTTGCACAGACAATCCACCAGCTGATATGTTATCACCTCCTCCGGCAGTGTGAACAATCTCAGTACAAACAAGCACTGGTGTAACACAGAATTGGTAATCATCTTCAGACCAACAAGAAACTGGTCTTTCAGCATTGAATGGCACCCGGTCACTTCCAGGCAGAGAGCTGATTGAGAAAGAATCATCCATAATCACCCTGGATTTGTTTGTGTGAATAAAATTGGACCCACAGACATGTCGTGTTGCAGTCAGTGAAGCCTTGGCTGTAGCAACCAGTGAGTTAGTCCATGGAGACTCTCTTGTCGTCATCATAACTTGGAATGCAAGTGTATGCAAGTGAAGTCTTGTGACTCTTCTTTTCGCATTACTTGCAGGCTTGCTGCGCAGTATCTTATACACCTGTCGCATCTGATCTAATATGACAGCAACACGAGGCTTCTGGGTAGCAACTTTGGTGATGTTGTCATATTTGAGCATGCTCAGAAGATTGGGCAGATCTTGCTCATTCATACCAATAGAGTCTGAATATGGAAAAACATACTTCAATAAATCTACAAAAAGAGCATGCTCATGGAAAACACCCATTTCAAAATGGACCATGCTCTTGAAAGGCAATTCTTTAAATAAGTTAGCCAGCTCACCAAGTCGCTGTGCTCTTTCACCCTCCTTATAAGGAAAGCTGTCCATCATGTGTAGACCACCAATCACAACTAGTGCAGGATTTTCTGTCTTGGACACTTGCTTTAAAGTATCCAATGACTTTARATATGGATTATTAACATCGGTGTGTAATACCATTCGATTAGAACGTTGGGAAACAAACTTGTCGCCCCAGTGTTCAAATCCGGGGAATTCAAAGATCATGTGAATGTCATCTTCTTTAGGTATTTCACCTACAATATCAATACTAGACGGCACAAACTTCCTTGTAGACTCTGTCATGGGTACCGTAAGGTGTGTCTTCCATCCATTTAATGCAAGACGTTTCGCGAAGCAGGTTGCTGTCCCACCAACAATCATCTTTGTATGTTGTAAGTGATTGGCTTTCTCAACTATTTTTCTGAACAAGTCTTTATTTGACACGTATCGAGAAGAGGCGACACTGTGCTCAAAAAAATACGCAAAAGTCTCAGCTAAAGCCATTTCGCTGTCTATAACTTCATGTGGGTAAGCTCTTTGAGGTGGATCAATGCCAAGAGACTTGAGAAGATCCAAAGACTCAACAAAGATATCCAGGGTAGCTTCAAAAGCCACAGCTGCAACTGGAGAGTTCGTCACTTTGACTTTCCTCTCCAATGACAGCATGCCATTCAAGATGGACCTAAGATGACGTTCATTATTTACAATGTTTCTGTAATAAAATCCTGTCAAGACAGCAATCAATACAACAAGAAAACCAACAACTCCTATGGAATTGCACGCCATGTTGATGCAGATGATGGTTCCCAGTTTTTGGTCACAAATTTCCAAGCTCCACTGATTTCAAAACCTGAGGAAAACACTTCAAAGCTATCTTTACGAAGTCTTCTGTTGTCCTAAAATCTTTTTGCAGTAGTTTTCCGTTGGCAAAGTCCAAGAAAATGATCATTTGTTCTATCGTTTAACCTGCASGCAACGTGGCCAGTCGGTGGAAGTCACGTGACCTAATGTGTCACTTCATAATAATGTCACGCTGTCACGCGTTACTCAAAGTCACAGTGGTCCACGGGTAACCTACGCCAACAGTTTAAAAAAAGAATAGAAAGTCGTAATAACGTTCGAACCTGTAGATTCACGTACACCCTTGGTTTTCAAATCCCTGAATGTCATGGAATGTAATGGAATGTTTCTTCATATGTTGTTGTGTTGTTGTCTTTGTGATCTTTGTACCTACTACRAATGCAAATGAGTAAGTATAGCCTGCGGGGGAAGCGTTGCGTGACGACACAGGGGCGGCTGCTAAAGGAGGCTACAACGCAGGCTAAGTAAGTAACAATTTTGTGACGTCAAAATGCAATCAATATCCCTTCGGAAGACCCATAAACACAGGAAGCCCAGCGATTACGTCTACGAGGGGTCCTGTGGACTCGGCACTTGTTCCCGGCTCTTCACCGCCCTCTTGTGACATTAGGGCACAAAAATTGTAGAAAAATGTTAATAAATGTGGTTTCAACGACTAAACACTTCGCAAATTCAAGGGAATATTCATTTTATCACAACACAAAGAAATATACAATTGTGCGTTAAATCGTATTTTAATATTTTAATTACGATTTTGTTTTGAAGTAGTCATTATTTCCCATATTGTCGGTATCTAATTATTCATAGGTCATTAGAGTGGTTTTCATTAACCCGTGAAACAAAGTGTAATAATTAGAGTGTAATAGATCGTAATAGTCGCGTAGAGACAAAAAACAATAGAGCCAAAGTGTAATAGCGATAAATACGCTAAAGTGTGTTTCACGGGTTAATGAAAACCACTCTATTGCAGTCACTGGCTTGAAACAGGTTATTATTGGAGCTAGAGGTAAGAGTCATACTCGTAACATGGTATATTTAGGATCTAGTGAACCCTATTTTTTGGTGAAAATATTGATCCCTGAGCCCGTTTCTCACCAAATATTTGACCCCTGAGCCTGTGCAACAATTTTGAGCCCATTTAATTTGTTTGCTCAAATTGCTTTGAATAGTGTTCAAAAGATCTTAGCTAAAACCGAAGGAGGTCTCCTTATACAGTATGACAAAAAATATACATAATAACACAAGAAGTGTCATGGCTTGAATAAGGAGGAATTGAATTTCCCCGCGAAATACGGAAAGACCCGAGTCAACTTTGTAATATCATTATTCGCGAATTGTTTTTCTAAAAATAGATGTCAAGGCTCAGAGTTGATTTATGATTTATGTGGTCATGTGGAGCCTAAAATTGATTCCTTATTGCAGAAAGAATGAACGCTTTACTAAATRAGCTATAAAACAATTTTGAGGAAAGATAGGAAGGATGGAGGAAAGATTGCAAGGGCATCAACTGAAGTTGCCATGCAACTAAAATAGGTGCATATAATTGGCATATGGAAACTGAACGTRGCTGAAATAGGTATATATGATTGAGAAGCTCATAGGCAAAATGATTAGTGAAACATAACGAGATTATGTTATAGCCCTCCACTGTACGGAGAATAATTGCATAGTTATTAATATCTGCCAAATCATCCATTAATGTAAGAACAAATGATTAAAAATATAAATGAGTGAAATAGAAAAAATTCTTTATTGCCATAACCTTCTCTCCTATTCTTTTATTCTTTCCCATTTTTAAGCATAAAAAACGAAATATTGGTTGAACTTACAAGACCACTTGAACTTTGAAAGACTAATTTTCCAGATACAGTGAAAACCCGCGTATCAAGAACSTAGAGGTTTCGGTAAGCAAAATACTTTTAAAAAGATTATCTTTAATTTCCTTTTTTTCAAAATAAGAACCTGTTTTAGAATTTTAGCATAAAATGGTTCTTATGTGAAGGGTACTTTTTAAAAAAATGAAATTTTACCCTAACAGGTTCTTATACGCGGGTTTTTGCTGTATTCCAGAACGACCACGCCACCTAAAGATGGGATCGAATTAACTGAAAGCACGGAACATGTGCACGMACCTCATTGGTATTCGGAACTACCTACTTCGGAAACGATGCTTTTCCGAATATTCCGCAGTYAAAATTAGTGCTTTTTAGATACTTCTTTTACAGAACAATTAAAAATGTTTTAACTCAAATTATATGCATTATTATTATAGTATCCCGATTTTTTTCTCTTGAGCCGTGAGCCTACCAGTTTGAGCCCAGAGCCCAACCAAGATTTCGGAATTGAGCCCGGCCATTTGAGCAATGAGCCCTGAGCCCATATACCATGTTAAGAGTGGTTTTCCGTCAACCATGAAAAGAAATAGACCAACTAGTTAGTAGCAATTAGTAATAGTCAATAGACTAATATAAAAATTAGGTAACACCTAATAGCGGAGCTCTAATAGCAAAACAGAAGCTGAAAATGATTATCTATAGTACTACTAAACATATTTATTCATTTCAGTATGTCTATGAGAATTTCGTACTTTGTGATGAATATGTTT